AGAAAGACCAGTAATACACTAGCGATAGACCAGTGATAGACCAGTGATGGATCAGAGATAGATCAGAGATAGATCAGAGATAGACCAGAGATAGACCAGTAATACACTAGCGATAGACCAGTGATAGACCAGTGATGGATCAGAGATAGATCAGAGATAGATCAGAGATAGACCAGAGATAGACCAGTAATACACTAGCAATAGATCAGTAATAGACCAGAGATAGACCAGTAATACACTAGCGATAGACCAGCGATAGACCAGTGATGGACCAGTGATGGATCAGAGATAGACCAGAGATAGACCAGAGATAGACCAGAGATAGATCAGTAATAGACCAGAGATAGACCAGTAATACACTAGCGATAGACCAGTGATAGACCAGTTGTAGACTAGTAATAAACTAGTCTATTCATGACTGGAGTCAGCGTTACAGGGATGAAGACCTTCACACCTTGAACATAAGGTAGACTTTAAACCAATCTAGTAATTTTACAGGTAGATGCTATCTGACATTGTTTTACAGTTCTGCAGTGTTTCTTGTCTGATTTTTAATGTTTGTAAGGATTTCACTGCTTGTGTGTGAGCTACTCTTCTGACTCAGCTACACTGACTGTATTTAAAGTACTGACTGTGGCTTTGCCTCTCTGTACTCTTCAGTCTCCGAGTCTTCATCTTCAGAGTAGATCCCAGAGTCTCGGCCCCCTCTGAGCAGGCCCCTGGCAGCCAGCAGACCTGCAGCGTTACCGTATCCAGTGTACTTGATGAACCTTGAAACTGGACACAGAAATATCAAAATTAAAATGATTGTTTCCCATGATGAACGAGAAGGTGTTAGTACTGACTTAAGCTAGAAACAAACCACATTACCTGTTTGCCTAATTTTCCCAGATTCCCAATAGAATTCTAAAAATATCTTCTATTACTTCCACCTACTGGAATGTTTGTTCCTTCAACCTGCATTAAACTCATACATTAAACTCTTGAGAGTTGGCTTTAGCTGGTCTGAAAGATCCTATAGTCTTTGATCTTCAAGCAGTTAATGTGATCTTTAGTCTTTCAATTGGTGCGTTCTGGTTCTGATTTGTCTTTGTGTGTCTTGGTTTCTAAATTAGTAGTAGTAGTAGATTCGCTGCTCCTTCACGTTGAGAGGAGCCAGTTGAGGTGGCTTGGGCATCTAGTCAGGATGCCTACTGGACGCCTCCCTGGTGAGGTGGTCCAGGCACCTCCCACCGGGAGGAGACCCCGGGGAAGACCCAGGATACGCTGGAGGGATTTTGTTTCTCGTCTGGCCTGGGAACGCCTTGCGATTCCCCCAGAGGAGCTGGCAGAAGTGGCTGGGGAGAGGGAAGTCTGGGCCTCCCTTCTGAAGCTGCTAACCCCGCGACCCGATCCCAGATAAGCGGAAGAAAATGGATGGATGGGTTTCTAAATTGAACTCATTTTGCTTAGCTTCATAAGTTCTTCTGCAAAACCTGCAGGTTCATGTCAGCCTTGGTAATCTTTGTTGTGTACCACTGTTTAACGTCAGCTTTTGTTAACCATCAGACATGAGTTATATATTTTTGCATTGCTATAAATCATTGCAGCCAACGGATATTTCTCTCACCACTTTCTTTGCAGAGCACAAAGAGGAATTCAGCAGCGCAGTCTTTGACATCGGTGTCGATGTGAGTCATGAGACGGACTAATTTGTTCCTGAGAGCACTGCCGATTTCTGGCCTGTTTTTCACATCGCGAAGTGGGGGCAGCACCTTAACAAAGCAAAAGCAGAAGACAGTTCTGAAGCCATCGGCAGCAAATATGTTCATCTATCAGCTTTGTGGCTCCGCTCCATACAGACTTTTGACCTGAGGAATTTCCTGGTCTCTCGGTGGATGCGGGAACTCTCAGTCAGTAAGTTTAGAGATGGGAGAAGAGTCTCTTTCAGCTTATGGCCCTGGTGAAATGACAAATATTTATCTATTAATCAGCTGTCAGTCTGACTTGTAACAGAAGTATATGTAACAGAAATGATCTACAGTCAACGTGGTTTCATGTAATCATAAAAAATTGTACTACTTATCCCTTGAGTATTCTAAGGCTTCTAAGGCTTAATTACACAGCAGAAGCTCAGTTCCACCAGGTGTTTGCTAATTGCTGCTGCTGCTAGTCTAAAAGAAATGAATGAGGAAGGTGTGAGCAAAGTGCTACCTTGTGCACCCTGAATGGTTGCCATGGGAGATTAACGGATTTTTCAAACATGCAAAAAAGAATCAAAACAACACTCCAGGTATGTGCTTTATGAGGGAATAACATTATAAAGCTGAAAAAGTTGATTTTACATAATACCCCCCTTTAAAACCTGCACAGCATTAATGTTCTTATTTTGTAAATGTGTTCTTCCAGTACAATCCTTTTATCTTATTTAAATATATTTTTCATCTTTGTTGCTGCTGTGACATCTGAATTTCCCCAAAGTAGAGGAATAAAGGATATTTCTCTTCTTCCTATTCTATTTAGACTCAGTGAGTGTTGGGTTCCTGGGTGTTTCTTTTTTGTTGTTGGGGTTGCTGTTTCTCCGTCCATCCTTCAGGGGGCGCCTGGCAGTTATTCCTGGAGGGTGTGGGCCAGCTGATGCGAATCACCTGCTCTGCATGATCTCATCTAGAGGGGTATAAGAAGAGGAGGCAGCCTACACACCAGTGCCAGAGTATTTTTGCCAGTTTTGGTATTACAGGCCACCTGAATTCTTCCAGTGATCGCTCTTTGTGAACTCCTAGTGATTTTGTTTTTTGTGCCAGGGACTCTCCTTGTAGAAGCTGTGAGACCCTTTTGTGGAGTTCCAGCACAGAACCTCTCCTCCTACAACCTTTCCTCTCCTTGTGACGCCGGTGGAATATACCCACCGGATGCCCAAGTCCCTGTTCCCCACCATTGTGACCAGATCTCCACGCAGGCTGCCCTCCTCTCTCCTGCCGTCAAGAAACTTGACCTGACCTCATCCGCCCTCCAGTGCTGCCCCTGCCGCCTTTAAGCTTAGCAGCAACACTCAATTTAAAGATATCCGGCCAGAAACCATCAGATTCCCCTCAGTCCAGATCATCTCAGCTAAAAGTAAGAATGTTCAGTTTTTCCCCTGCAGTTTGCTATTCCCTCCGGTCATTGAACTCACCATACTCTCTCACCCTCTAGTTCCAACCCAGAAGCACCGATTCCACTCCGGACCAGTTTCTTCCCCTTTTTTTCTGACTGTGGTTTTTTTTCTGCAATAAATATCATTTTACCAGGGCTGTGCAGAGACCACTAAAAGGGCAGGTGCTCAACAACAAAAAAAGGGCACATCTGACCGCATTTTAGGACAG